AAGTGGTGTGATGTCAAGTGTGAAATAGGGTTGGTGGAAGAGTTTTTAAAAACGTAGTCTCTCAACATGGCGAGGCGATCCCAAATACGGTTGTGTCAAATTTATTTGTCTTTGTGAGGCCTCGCGTTCCACGCAAGAAATAAAAAATAGAAAAAGCACTTGCAAAACGTGTTACTATTTTATGTTTATTTTGTGCGTGAAATTGCAATTGAGAAACCCCATATAAAGAACACCCTCCTGATAGTGGTGGATCTGTGTGCACCTTCATTGCTCCAATGGCAACCTTGATCGGTTGCCAATATTACTATCTCTTGTTCCTCCTCTGGTTTCTCTCGAGTGTAACCTTTTTTTTGGACACTCATGTTATGTTTCAACGTGTGAAAATACTCCTATTCGGAAGCGTTCACTCCTTTGGCGTTAACAGACCAACGTCTACTTCACTGGCTCGATGCTGGCATCATTTTAGCCCTATATTCCCTCTGGGGCTTCATGCAGACTTGCCTACAACACAGATGCTTGCTCTTGCTTTTCATTCCTAGTTCTTCGGGTTCTTGTTGGATATGTTGGTCGTGCAAATTAATGAGGTTGTGTGGTCCAGGAACTCAAATCCAATGTTGTTCGTCAACTTCAGAAGAACTCAACCTCTGCTTTTGGATTTCTGTAATCTAGTTTTACTCTATGGTACATTGTGTTGCTTAGTTTTTATTTCGGGTTCAATGGCATGCATACCAAATGTAAGAATAATAATAGTGTGTAAATGGCAACATTTCCTCAAATATGAGAGAAACACAAGATTGAGGACATATTATTACATTAATATTGTCATATTTTATTACCGAATACTGCAGTGTGGTATACTCACGCACTTTACTTTCACATGAAAATATAAACTTTTGTTTGAATTAGTTTTTAGTAATCTTTAACCTCATGAATTTAGTTTTTCAAATTTGAAAATATACGTTTAGAATGAATGATAACATAAAGAAAATCTTTAGGATTTGGTGATTTAATTTTTAAAAAATAGTTTTAGTGATAATTGTGAAAAAAATATTGTTAAAAGTAAGTTCGAAAAAAAAACAATTATTTAATTTAATTTTTAAACTTTTAAAAATTATTTTAATGATATGAAACAAATTTTATTAATTTTAAATTTTTTTGAAAACTGAACCTTATTATTTTAAAAATACAAAATAAATATGTTTTATTTTTCTTTCTTATTAAATACCGAACATATTTAAGGGTAGACGAACTTTATTAACATATTTAAAGTAATACAAATTTTATTAAAATAAATTTAGATTTAATGTAATTTATGAAACTTATGAATGAGATAGATTATAGTAATTATATTTGATAATTTTAATGGGATTCCAACTCACTTCCACCAGATCTGATGTGAAGTTGCGAACACGAAAGTCAAAAAACCTTGAACTAACACTTTTGATATTGTTGTTGGATTAGTTCTTGAGATCCATTTGTAATATAAAATATGAGGGAGTGAAGACAAAAACATATAATGAGGAGAGGATGGAGTGAAGAAAAGACAAATGCACTAAATATGATGCTACCATGACGCATATAATAATGAGATAATAACAAGTAAATTTTGCTTCGATGGGTACAATTCCAGTGGCAGTTTATAAGTTCAAGTTCCATGAACCTAAATAAATAGCCATAAAAGGAACCTATTCATATTCTCTAACTTCAAATCATCACGTCACAACCTTGTTTCATCGACTCTCTCCATGTGCCAACATCAACTTCCAAAAATTATACGCTTATTCGTTTTAAAATTATTCATTTTTTTATATATTTTAATTTAGGTATTCACTCATATGTTTCTTCAAATAGTAAAAAATAGTAAAAATTCAATGCACTTTATTTTCTTTTTAATCAAGTAAAAAATAATATAAAATAATTCCTATAATATGTATTAAACATATCTTCTGACCGATTCTTCCTTACGTATAAAATAATTAATACTGATAAATTATTATCTTATATAAAATAAATGTATATTGTTTATAATCTATTAAAAATTAAAAAAAATGTAATTATATTATTTATAGAAAATAATAAGTATATTATGTGTCAAAAAAAATATTTCTCTTGATCCTAGCTAGTATATCTTTTTACCGGAACTGTTCCCGTTAATATTTTCTCACTTTAAATGCTATACTAAATATACTTAAGAGTAAAATATTAAAAAAAAATACTAAAATAGTATCTGATATAAAAATAACAAAAAAAATGCATACACTAAAAGTAAATAGGATCAAATATAAAACATATTTTATGAAAAAAAATTAATAATTTTGCTATTATTTTATTTGATAATTCAGATCAACAAAGTTTTCGAATTGATTAAAACATTTGAGGAATATAATTACGTATATCCCATGATGTTCGTTTTTTGCTTTAACAAAATGAAGATTCATGTCATTCCTTACATGTGTTTTTTTTTTAATTCTGATTTGATTATTGTTTTTATTCGTGTTTATTTTAAATATTCATTATTGATACTTTCTATTAATGAGGATTTTTTAAGTTACAAATTGTCTAACCAAGATCCATTTATTTATATATATATACTCATGTGAGATGCACTATTGAAGGCATCATTTATAATTTTATATAATTAAGCAAAGCACATGACTTATTCTCTGTCACTTATATATGTGTTCTTCCACTTCAATATTTATCTTCCATTATTGCAATAATTTTCATGACTATCTATACTTTTATCTTATGTCGTAAGTTTATTATAAATAAATGTTAATTTCAATCAGTTTCTAGACTTTCTTCACATAGTTTAAACCTATCAATTGTGATAATAGAATAGAGCTTAATTTTTTTCATGCAATCGGATTAAAAATACTTAATTATGTATTAAGAAAATCACTCACCTCACATTAATTCGTCACATTATGAGAAGATAATTACACTAATTATTTTGAGATTTTGTACCTTTCACTAATTTAGAAGATAATTGTTTTCTACAAGCATTAAAACACCTCATTTTGATAAACTCCATGCACTTTCACACTTTAATAATAATAAAAACTTAAATAATCTTTTTGCTATCGCCCTTTATTTACAAGCATTTTCTTTAATATTGTGCATATTAACAAGTAATTAAAAAACATTGAACATTTAGAGTGTTTAATAGGAAGATTTTTTTTTTTTTGAGAAACTCAAGATTAAGAAAGAAAGTATGATTTTCCTGATTACCTTATCTTTATAAAACTAATATTTCCAGAAAACAATGTTTCTTGAGATGGTTTTTATCAAATTTTCCATATACAAACATTCAAGGAAGTGAAATTATAATTTTTTTGAATTCAAATACAAATTTTACAGAGTAAAAATATTATATTATTCTCATTACATCCAATTTATTTGGTAGCTAGTCAAATATTTTAAGTAAAAAACATACATTATTATTTGATTTTTCAAAAACTTATAACAATATTTTTAATTAATGAAACGGAATGTAGTTATTTTTATAAATTGAAAGAGTTAATGATTTCAGAAAACACGATTATCGGAAATGAGAATAATGTATTTATTGCGAAACTTCCCGTTAAGCGTTTAATATAATGTTCGTGGAGAAAGTTTGGGATGATTTAAAACAATTTTTGGGAGTTAAAAGTGTTATAAAAAATCACCAATACTTATCGAACAGTTCAACATAAAATCTCAGAGAAGTAAAGTTGTTTTAGATCTTCAGAAATTAGTTAAGTTCTTGTTGTTTAAAATTTAAAATTAATATTAAATAAATTTTATTATTTGATAATAACGACATAAAATCGAAATAAGTGCCCAACAAATTTGTAATTATTAATTTTATAAAAAAATCCTTAATATTTATGGAGAAATAATGAAATGGTTTTTCAAATTATAAGTAGTAAATAACTAATTTGAAATTTAAAGAAAAAATAAATTTTCTTCAAATACTTAAAAATATAATGGGATATTATTATTCGTCGCTAGAATCATTTGGATTGTGTAACATTATTTTAATCTTAAACCTAAAAACAAGTATACAAAACATTAAATTCCTCGACAGAAATTATGATACATTTTATACCCATAAAAAAGGGAAATTATTCGACCTTTAATTAATGCCTTCACGTGTTCAATTATTAGCCCGGTTTTGAAAACGGTCACACTAATGACAGCTCAGAAAAGAATTAGATTTGAAGTTCTCAAAATTAGAACAAAAAGCTGTTGCACTCAGATGCTTCAACGTCGTTGAAGTGGCAATGACAAATGCATTAGTAGCCATCCATGTAACCCTTCCTTGCTTCTACTGAAACAAGCTTATTATTATTAAAACCTAAAAAGATCACAGTTAGGAGCACAACACTTTTCTTAATTTTTTCCTTTTTACTTCATTTCAATGATTTCATCCATTAACTATTATAGTACTAATTAACAGATTGGTTACACTTTATATTTGTTACACATATCTTAAATATACCATAACGGCTCAAACCAAATTCAGTTGTTCAATAGCGCAAACAAACACACATACATCATGAAGGAATGGGAGAGAATAGGTAAGAAAGATCATGGCGAAGGAAAGAAATTGAAGCCAAAAATGAATCAATACACTTCTTGAACAGTTTAACCAATGGTACAATGGTGAAACCACCAAAGAAGAAGATATGGAAAATATATACAGAGACTGGGAATTACAACTACACCTACAACACCCACCCAACACCATCAAAGAATGATGGAAAGAACAAGGGGGCATGCTATTTATCAACACTGCTCAAAACAAGTTCTTAGTTCTAACCAAGAAGTTAGATCAAACTATAAAGAATATTCTTCTTGCACCTTCGAGCGGAAGATCCAATCTAAGCAAACAGAAAACACTGTTCCGCGAACCAACCAAATGGTGGAAAATGACTCTAATACCCTGTATCTGCCTCTGTATAATCCAAATCCAGCCTGTCACAATGGGAATCAAAACAATGCAGAAATTTCAAAATTCACCTCATGGACATCAAAGTTCGCACCCTTTTTTCCCTCTCGGCTTTCTTCGCGCTGGGAGTTCGCTTGAGCTTCTTCAACTCTTCAAACACAGCCTCCTGAACCTGGTCAATGTTGTTCAAAAGCTTCTTCTGTGGCGTTAGGGTTTCCGATTCCCCTTCGGGTAAATCAGAAATGTCGAGGTAGATCTTCGGCACTTTGCAGCCGAGAGGCGTTCGAAGCTTAACCCCAACAGACTTCGGAGATTTCGAGGAAGAGGCACCAGACGCAGAAGCAGGCTCGGAAGATTCTAGAACCAATTGATCAGCAGTAGAAACAGTGCTTTCAATTCGCTGGCCTTCGACTTCCCCTAACCTAGCTCTCCTTCTTTCAATCGCCTAAACGACAATGCGTAAAAAAAAAACAATTTAACAAAAGATTTAAACAAAGAAGCAAAACGACGGAGCCTTAGTTTTCACTTACTCGAGCGACGGCAGTGATGTCACGCAGTGGGGTCCGAGGGTACCAAGCGGGTAGCAGAGAGCGAGAATGAATGCGCCCCCTAGTGCGTCGCGTGGAGGGAGGAGTGTTCTCGGAGCCGAGAAAAGCACGAGCGCGTCCCCTGGCGAGTGTTCTTGGAGGGGTTCGTTGCGGCGGCGGGTCGTTGTAGATGAAGAATGCGCGGTTACGAGCGAAGGCGGCGGCAAGGTCGACAGGGGTTACGCGACGGTCGCGTGATTGGGGCATGGCTGAAGGGGGACGGAGGGAGAGGGTGGTGCCGTGGCGGTGGGAGGTGGGAGGTGGGGGTAGGGTTTGGTGAGAGCGAATAAGAAGAGAAGGGAAAGGGTTTGGGAGAAGACCGAATTGGCAAATTTTGAAATTGAAAAAAGGCGCACTTATATCTCCCCAAATCTCTGAATCTCAATTCATTTCCTGGATTCTATCTCCTCCCTGCCCAAAAATGAAACGGCTAATTTTGAATTTCAAATCCCGCGGTGGGCGGGACCAGCGTAGATTCACTTTCAGTTTCAATATTCGTTATTTCAAATTTTTGGGCTTTCTCTTGGGCTTCCAATATCGTTTTAGGCCTTTCAATAAATCAAGCCTCCTTTTTCCAATACTCTTATAATTTCTTCCTACCCCATAATATATATAAAATGACCAAAATATTCTTTTGCTAATTTTTGTTTGAAACCCTTCAAGCTTCTTCTCTTCTCCTCTTCTGCACTCCCATATTTCCTACAATTTCGTTTGTCGTAGTTTCACCTCATTGAAGATTATTTTCAATCCATAATATAAGAAATTGTTAATATTATATACCTATTACATCAATATTAAACTAAAAGTAAATAAATGGATAAGTTCAATCCATAATATATTTTTGAAAGTGAATTCCAGAAGAGCCGATCTAAAATTTCAGTGGATTGAATTAAAAAAAAATAAATCATAACACTCAATCTGAAATACATTTATAAAAAAAAATTAATATTATACAACAAAAATACATATTAGTAAACTATAAATTTAATTTAAATAATGACATTGAACATAATTTTATTCACACATTTACATTTATATTATCACATTGTTTGTACACATAATATACTAATATAAGTCTACCACCTTACCACCAAAAGCATTCAACGACTTTAGAATACTATCCATTAGATTCCAAACTCAAATATGTGCATATGTCATGTTATAGTTTCCAAAATACATAATACAATGATGTTTTTAAGGTTAATTTGAAGAGTTTACTGTTTACATGGGAATACACATTCAAATGGTATAAAAATATATTATTAAATTTGTCAATTTATTGTTTACACAAACAATACTCATATAAGAAATATCTTGTTAGCATTCACTATAGTACAACAAAATGTCAAATTTTCACAAATTAATTTCAAAACATTCATATATACATCACAAACTTCTTTACCTAGATACGTAAAGGTATTGAAATCTATATATACATAACATTTAGAATCATATTATTAGTGATTTTTCACACGAATTAACCATTTTTTCTTAAGTGAAATCTCATCAACATCTCTTATTTCTCTATGAAGTAATTTCGTAAAAATAATGTCACTTAAATATAATATTTTATCATTTAAGTGATTAGTATCTTGTTTGAAAAAAAATATTATAGAATCAAATATCATTCCATTGGAAGTTTTTCACTTAAGCGATTATGATGTTGAGACTATTTATTTTCTATTTGAAACTCTCATCGTTTGAGCAATCAAATCCTCTCTTGAGAAAAAAACTTAAAAGAAAATGTATTTAGTGAATCATACGGAGCCAAAATCATCATTTACCCAATTTTATTTTTTAATTGACCTGACCTAGGTATTTCCATCAAAATATTACATATACAACAATAATCATTCATAAAAAAAAAATTAAAACCTAAATCATACCATAATAGACAACAATTAGAGTTATAAAATACAAAATTCAATCATACAATTCAAACAATGATAAAAGTCATATCACATATTTAGATAATCTAAAAGTCATATCACATATGTAGATTATTTAGTCTAAAATACTATAAAATTGAAAATCTAGTTTCCATTGTTTTTTTTCTATTATAATCCTATACAAATGATGGATTAGAAAACTTAGAGAAAAGTGTAAGAGTTATGAGTTAAAGAGTGAAAGATGATTTTAAGTAAATAAAGCTTGAAAATTAAATTATTCTATTTATAACATTTTTAATTTGTTTTTCAAAATATTCATTATTCATCTAATTTAATCACTTATACTACTAGACTTAAAATAAATTGGCCAGATGAATTGAAAGAGAGTTTACTTCTCTAAATGTAAAAGTTATAAATGTATTTTTTTTCACATCATTAATTTTCTTCTAATTTAATTATGGAAATAATTTTAAACATTTTACTCTTAAACTAAATAAATTCCTTATATATTACTTACAAATGTTTTTTTCGTAACATAATTACCTAAATTTAAAAATATGGTGAAGTTCTACGAATTATGCAAATCCACTAGTCTATGAGTTATACAAGACAAAATTATGTAGGCTAACAAGTTGAAATGTCCAACACACCCCACACCTCATAGTCTACACTTTTAACAAGCTAGCATACTAGTCCCATGTTAAAACAATTTAATTTAACATATTGAATCACAAATAATAATTTATCAATATTTTAGCCTATTAAATTATAATCAATACTTAACTTATCGTCGTTATAACAATTTAATTTGACATATTGAATATCAATTAATAGTAATTTTATTTTAATCTAGAAAACTAGGATATTCATAATTCAAATGTGTAAGTATCCCATAATGCAAATAAAGTAATGTATAAGTTATACCATTTTTTTATAAGTAAAACAATTTTATGAAGAAGTTTAATTAAATCAAAAGTTTACTAATATAACAAGATGGATTATAGATTTGGAACGAAATCAAAGTATTTATAAATAATATAACGAGTCATAAGATAATATCCCATTCCATTCAATCTAAAATTGTAATTTTAGATCTCTCATCTATGAGTTATTTATTTTTTATTTTTTGTATTTTAATTATATATTTATCAACGAAAAATATTTTATCATCTTTGATATATATAACATGATTATTATAAAAGAATTATAATTAAAAGATTGGCATTATACATCAAACAATCATAGTATATTACATATAACAATAATTATAAAAGAATTATTGTTAAAAAATTATAAAAATTAAAAATCATAGTATATTTGGATCTTTGTATTTATTGATGACTCACTTGATTTAATAATACCTACAAGATCATAAATATATTACAAATATTTTTAATAATTATATTAATTAGTTAATATTTAATTTGACATTATATTTAGAGTTTGTTTTCCTTTTATAATAAAATCCATAGCAATAATAAGGTGAATAATGATAATTCAATTTAATTAGCTATATGTAATTCTAAAAAAAATGTATTTTTCATTTCAAAATTTCAAATGTGCAAGTTTCTTAATTAAGAAAATTTATAATTATCTTAATTAAGGAAGTTTATAATTTCCTTAATTGTGTACATGGGAAAAAAATCTCTAAAAAATATAATTTTGAATTATATATAATGTTAGTGGATATTATTTGATTGGTTGGTATTTGAGATTTTGTAAATAATTTGTTCCATATTACTATTTCTATTTGATGCAGACGGGTAATGTTGTAAAGAAGAATGATTTAAAGAAAATGGACAAAAATGACAAGAAAATATTAATTATAGTTTAAAGATTGAACTGGTCAAACTTAAAGAAATAAATTGAACTGATTTTCACCAACTGATATGTGTCTTAGGTATTAGAAAAATATTTGCATATTTATCGATGAAGATGAGTTTGTGGATAAATATATTTTATTAATAATATGGTTAAAAATATAAATAATCTATAGTTCATTTATCTTTTAGGTAGTTAAAGTCAAGTCTTTTACACAGGGTTAAGGAGGTTATATATAAAAAGAAAACTTTCAATCTGACCCTGAATCGATAATGACAAATCATTACATTAAAATAATAATTTCAAGTACATGATTCTTATATTAAAATGCAAATTGAAAATTAGCATAAAATAAGTAGCCGCCAAAAGGGAATGGAATCAATTCATATGTAAGAACCCATTTTTATCAACTAAACGTGAGATCTATTCATGAGTTTGTTCATTTTGATTTAATTTCAAAAAATCAATCTTTATGTTACTAATTTTGAAGCTGACTGAATAATCAAATTTTGGAAGTTAAAATAATACTATATTTACCTAGTTTTTACACAAGTCTTACTTATTTATTACTTTATATTATACAAGAGAATTTATTTTTCAAAATAAGTAATGGATTTCACTCTTCTAGTATTTCAAAATATGCAATGAATTCATCCGATGTAGGAAAAACTTTTAGACACAAAAATCAATTACAAATGTATTCATAATTATCTATAACCTGTGTTAGGCTATTTCTGGGTAAAGTTTGTCATAAACATATTCATAGTAAAATCTAACATCCCTGTCTGTCCACAAGTTTACCTGGATGCTCTGCTATGGACACGATCCATTGAAGCCAATTGCACTATTGAAAAGTTTCGTCTGGGGTATTATATATGGGTCCCTTAATCATCCAAATTCAAATGAATTTTTTCTTTTCTTTTCTGTTTTATCTGACTTTAGTATTCGTCTTTGTTTTTCAACCTGAAGCATGCTGTTGGTTTCAATATATTTGCTATTTTGAGTGAAACAGTCAACCTTTTATGTCAGATTCTTTAACCATTTCTCGAATCTCTGCTGCATCACTTTTTACTATTTTCTACTGAAAAAAAGTATTCGATATTCGTATTCATTTATAATGGCATCAATTCAATAAGAAGTAATACATATTGGAAAAAAAGAAGAAGATAAAATTAATTCATTACAATTTGGGTATAAAAAATTACAAATGAAACTATTTGATTTATTGTTTGTGTGATTCATCGCGTCAAAATATAATACCCGGTCCTATTCAGTATCCATGTTCGCACAGTTCCTTTCATTACCTGTACAAAAGAAACTCAAGCAATTTGATCTGTTTCTGATTTCTGCATGTTTTTACATTTGCATTTAGCCCGTCTTTCGCTCAGAGTCTGCAGAAAGGTGTTCAGAATTTTTAGTGCATGCATGAAAAGAGTCATTAATTGCATGGCTATCACTATATGGGGTTCTAACTAACTTCTCCATTTTATGTACCTTGAATTGATTCTGAAGATTTTTTATGTAGTCTACAGCCAAGTCTAACATCTCTGCTGTGCTGGTTTGCTGCCAATAACACAAGAATGTTAACATTCCAAATGCAAAACAATCCAAGGACAAATCAACTTGTGATATAATTCTGACCTTTTCCATGTTTGGAACAAGCTCTTGCAATTTTCTTATTCGTTCACTGATCCTAGTTCTTCTCACCTGAGAACTAGTACTTGTTAGATTAATCTTTTACACTACAGTTCATGAATTCAACATAATCGTTATCTCTCTGTGGTTTTCGCAAAGGAATGGACTAGTATTATAGAATTCCATTTTAATTGGTAACGTGATATATTCTTACCCTTTCGGCAATGCTTCGAGGATGAGTAGCAAAGCCTCTTTTTGCTCTGATTTTACAAGGAACAGAATCATTGAACTGAAGCAAATTATCCATAGCAAACATCTCCGAGGACGTTCTTGGCAAACTCAAATGATGCGAAAGTGTATGAACTTGATTTCCCACCTCTCCATTCTGATTGTATGACAGCACATTTGTATTAAGAACCAGAAGAGAATTTGGAACAGTACAATAAGAAAATTGAAAATCCATTGTACCTGAGCTTCAGAAAGTAACTCATCGTTACTGTTTCGCTGTCTTTTGGGGTGTGACGTCTCGTTCCAAGAAGCATAAGGGAATCCAGGACCATAATATCGAGCATCACCATTGCTACCTCCCTGTCTACCATCCTTAGGGCTGGTTACCCTAAGACCCTCCATGCCCATCTTGGAGGTTGGTGACAACATTCCAATGGAAGAAGGACTTCTTGGTGAGAAGTTAATGTGATTCTTCATTCTGTTCATAGATAGACTAAGCTCACCATCATTGCCATTAACCCCACCAAAATTTTCAACACCTTTCATAGCATCATACTCTGCAATTTTAAACAAAAACTAAAACTACCTCAGTAACAACTACGTCATCTTTATATAAAAGTTGGAAACGTGTTTTCGGAAATACACAAGTCCAATTTTGGACAGAGAAAGTGAACAAGGAGATATATGTGGGATGTATAGATTGAAGTTTGTTACCTTAAATTTATATTAAAATTAGGTTATAAGTAAAACAAACCAAATCTTACTTATACAAAACAAAAACTTAAAACAGCAGCATATTTTTGAATACAATCAAATATGTCACAAAATTGAATTTATTCTCCAAACTTGATATGGAACTCTTCAAGTTGAAAAACAACCATAACATACGTTGTTTAGGGATTAAAAGTATGTTGAACACTTTTAACTGTATTATGAGAATGAAGAGTTTCTGCTTTACAAGATTATGTCAATGTGTATGTGAGAGCTCAAAGTCCTCAAACTGAAGTTGCTACAAAAGCATGAAAACATGCTTAAGGTTCCAATATTGACATGTTGCGTTCCGTACAAACGCCACAGTTTAGAAAGTTATATAACGGCCTTGTTGACATTAAATATTTATTCATTCAACTTTTCCAAAATCAGATATTAGGTTGCGAATCATAAGTAAATATTATATCTGACCACTCAACATATCATTGCTGTCTAATTTCAAAAGTCAGAACACGCAATTGCAGTTGAGTAAGCTACCACCACCTTCTTCAACAAATTTATTTCATTCAGCATAAAGAATTTCCATTTGGTGCTAAAAAAAATGCAGGGGCACCCGAAAATCTTTAAATAAAATCAGTGCCAAAAAAAAGTATTCACCAAAAAACTGAATACAGAAAAAGTACAGTACCGTTCTGAAAGGAGATGTTGTTAGAGAAATTGCCAGCAGGGAAGCTACTCTGCCTGAGAAGATTGGAATTAAAGCTTTTTACACTCTGATCCATTCCCATAGAACCCACCATCATAGATGAAGTAACAGTTACACCAGAGTCATGCCTCGGGTACCGAGCCGGTAACACAGAAGTACTATAGCCTTGCTGCGAATTCATGCGACTCAGAGGTGATAACGATGACGATGATGATATTGTTGACTCCTTCGCTTGTTTATTATCATTAGAAGCCTTGTTATCCACGAATTCTCGTAAGGCAGGCGACGTAGTATCGAGGGTGTCCCCGGAATTAAAAAATCTAAAAAGTGGTTCAGAACCCTCCCAGGGGTTCCCGTTAATGGAAGCTTCGCCTTGTTTGAAATTCGCGAGAACCTGAGTGGGGGCAGAGCGAAAGCGAAGTAACCCAGAATTGGGTTGTTGGTGTTGTTGCTGAACTTGGTAACGGGAATTGGAATCCATGCTTCGTTAGTTCCTGGAAAGAGAACAGTGGAGATGATGGTGATATGAGAGGCTAGAGAATCATTATGGGAAACCCCGAGAGATGGAAATCGGAATGGACGGAGAAGTAACCCAAATGGGAAGGAAAAAAGAAAGCTTGGTGGCGCAAAATTCAAGGAGGGGTTTAAAGGGAAGGTTGAGAGGTCGGTGTTGCGCAGAAGAGGAACAGATAAACACAGAAACAGTGAAAAGGACAAGAAGAGATATAGGTAGGTGTGGAGATAGATAAAAAGATATGCGTTAGTGCAGTTTCAGAAAACTGATTATTTTGCTTTTGAAAAAAGAGAGTAAGAGCGAGCAAGATCCTGTGAAGGAAAGAGAGAAAGGAAGAAAAAAACAAAAAAAACACAGAAGACAGAGAAAGTTTATGCAGAGATAGAAAGAGAAAAAGAAGAAACTCGTTCATATTAAATTTTACAGACACAACAAGTTCTAAACTGAAGATGAAAAAAAGAAAAAAGGAAAATTACAGTATGAACGAAGAATTTAATAAGAATTTTAGTTGTGTGTTTGTAGTACGTTGAGGCAGTTGAGCCAATGAGAGATTGGAGGAGTACATCAACTAGCGTCACAGGACCGGATACTGTTTGTCTGTTCTTAGATTGCTCGATAATTCCAAACAAGGAAAAATATTACTTTAATTGACTGCAATATAAAATTTATTTGGTGGTTCATTTTTTTATATGTTTAAGTTGGTTAAATTAGGGTTTTTTTTAAAGTGCATGGCAACCCTTGAAAATAAAGAGTGATTTTGTTGGTGGCATATTATTCCCAAACCCTATCACTAACTGCTACTCGTTCAATCTTGACCTTTATTAAATCCATTTAATAATAGTGAATAAATACTCCTGCGCCAACGGTTTACACTCTAACTGCACATTTTTTTATCCAAAAAACACACCTAAACACTGCAAAATTCATTGAATCAATGAATGAATGAATGAATGAATGAATTACTCAGGCGCCAAATTATACTTGAAAAATCAAAGTAGCTGATAAATTTTCCTCTGCATCTTCACGAGAAGGTGAGGTTAAGATTCTCAGCATTATTTCTTGAATTAAAAAATATTCATTATGATACGTAAGACTACAAAATCTTAATATCATTTCAAATTTTCATTTAAAATTAATAAAATAATAAAAGAAATATAAATCATATTTAAAGACTTTAGATAAACAATAATTTTTCTTGACATTAACCTCATTTAACCACTAATGTCTTATTTACTGGTATTATTATGTTTCTTCTTTCTTTCAAAAGTTGTATGATAAAAATTAAGAGATTAACTGATTTATTTTTGTTCAAATTATCATTATTATTATTATTATTTTCATATATCTGTTTGTTATTCTTCACTGTATAATAGAAGTTAATATTTTCTCAAACTTTTTAAATAATATATAAAAAATTAAAACTGACATTGTATGAGAACAGCACATGCATTAATTGAATGATTGCAAAGATAACGAGCTCCTTTAAAAAAATTCAAATCAATCATAAACTTTATAATTAAATCAATAATCTACCTAAATGACAATTCAACTCTCAAAACAAATGAACGAGGCCTCTCTAATTAATCTTCTTCTTCCCTCGCTATTTTATCTCTTTGATTTTAATATATATATAAAACTTTGGGTTAGTCCTTATATCATGTTAAATTATATATCTTTTGATATATTTTTTCCCGTTTAAAATTAGGAGTCAGTCTTGCATTAGATCAATTTTCATATTTTAAATTTTAATTTATTATGATTTTGGTTTTAGAAAACATTTTGGCGGATAAATATATATATATATATATATATATATATATATATATATATATATATATATATATATATATATATTACTTATAGTCATAATTGTAATAGATGTTAAAAGACTCATGTACTATAATTTTTAGTGTAAATAATTTTTTATTTGATAAAATTAATATATTTTAATCTCACTCAAAATATTTTAATTAAAAAAAATTGTATTTAATTTTTATATTTAATACAATATGAAACATTTAATATAACTCACAAGAATAATAAATAATTGGAAAATTAAATTGCTGAAAATAAAATAAATGTTCATGAATTAAATAATATAAAAATAAATCTAACTTATTACTAAGAATAAAACAAAAATTGAATAAAAAAAATCAATAAATTATACAATTAGCTTTCTACCCATGGTTACCTTTATTTTATCGTATATATTATTTTGTGTAACTGCTAAAACAATTAAATAAATAAAAAATAAAAAAATTACAACTTATAATATTCAAACGATTATCTTTTTGTAAGCTGTTTCACCTTATTGACACATATTTACTTGTAACTTGCAATTTATTTTTTAACCACCTTCAGCAGTCTCTTTATATACCATTAGACGATCCTTCCGTATAATTTTCTCTTGATATATTGGTGTCGATGTTTTCTACTCCTTAAATCTTGTATTCCTAACTTTGTCATGTTTTTCACTTTTAATTCTTCGATTTCCAATTTATTGATAATCTGTTTCTTTTTTTTTGAAAAACTCAATATTAACTATTTTTCTATCTCGATTTACCTTAAAAATGTTTTAATAAATATATATATATATATATATATATATATATAAATTATTTTTAATTCTCACTTATAAATTATAAATTATAAGTAATAGTAAGATGCCTATATCATATCATATTCTAAAATGTATATTTTTAATATGAGGATGGATATATGAGAACCAAAAACTAGATATTTTAAATTTGTGGAACTAACAAAATATACAATTCAAATTTAAAAAACTTTTTTTTTAATTTATGTAATAAATTGAATGAATCTTTCAGAATTAAAAAAAACAAAAATATAAAATCATAAAATAAATTTGTGGATGAAATCAAATAAGAAAATAAGTTACGCTTGATTCAAGAAAACTATTAATAAAATAAAAAAATCTCAACTTATTCTTACCATATTTTATTCAACAAACAAGTAATATTATTTTCACTGTAAATTTTAATAAAATTGATAAATAAAAGGATGAGATTGGAAATATGGAGAATATCGGGGGGTGTCTATGCGATTTAGTTCATGGAAAGACGGCGCGTGTGAGCGTAGCATGACGGCGCTATCTAATTAATATTATGTTTAGATAGAAAATTAATATTATCTGTTACTTATTGTACACTTTGGTATGATTAGCTTATAAACTAGACCTAAAATATATTTTCATATACTAGAAGTTTATTTATTTTTGTAATAAATTCTTAAGAAAATTTCTTATGCCTGATAACTATTACAATAATTTTTATTTGTAGTTCAATTTTTATTTTCTCTAAAAGGATTATTTTATTTTAAATATTTAAACTTTAAAAATATTTTACCATTAACCTTATTACTTGTTTAATTCAACTTATTTAAACACATAATGTTTTTGTTATCATTTGTTGACTGTTTTATAGTCTAATTGTTTTCCAAAATATATTTCACCAAACAAGCAATAAATTCTTTTATGAAATGTATTTATGATGAGTGTAAATTTGTTTATATTGTACACTAATCACAAGTTATAATTGGCATGATATTGAAGAGAATTTTTGGAAAAGGTAGTGATAGATATTTACACTTTCATTGCATTTAATATTATTTTAGAAACATTTAAAAATGTTACTTTGATCAATAAAAATACATAGATTGATTTTTAAAAAACCGTACACAAAAAAGTACTTTTTTTTTCCTTCTCAAATTGAGTACACAGAATGAGATTTTGAAGATATATTCCTTATAGTGCAAGAGAAAAAAGACTTTTGTGTTTGATTCCTTTTTCTTTTATTGGGCAACAATAAAGCAGAAGATTGCACAACGCATAGATCCAATTCCAATATGTATAGATGAATATTGAGAGTGATGTGGATGTGAAGTCAATTATGGAACAAATTCTGAGGGAACCAAACCCAAATATGCTTGTGATTCCCAAATGAGAAAAAATTAAGTTGATTGATTCCTAAAAAAAAGACCTAAAAATTTCAATAACTTGAAGAAAGACAGGTTTGGATAGATTCTAATCCCTACTTCATTGCTTTACCCTAATCATTATTATTTCTTGATTAGAGGCACCAAAGTCACATGAAGGACATGAAAATATCTTTTGCCTCTCACATTCTTTATTGTTCTTGTGATGGTTTTGGCAATGTCTTGAGTAATAGTGTTGGTGGTGTCTCTTTCTACCGTGGTACCTCGTGTGATGATAAAGATAAAGAGTAAAAGAAACCAGAAAAGCCAAAAAAGGGAAAAAGGGTCGAGAGGTACGTAACAGGGTAACAGGGGCACGCATTCAATTCAAATCTCTTCCAAATTAAAAGTAATGTTAAAAGGTGGACTCAAACAAAGACACGTGACCACTGAATATAATTCTTTTCTTACTTTATTTATTTAATAATATTTTTGAATCTTTTTAAAAATAATGTTTCTTGTTGTTGAAGTATTGTTTATGAACAATGTATGTGTTTAATGGATTTTATTTTATTCACACAAATTCCTAAGCACCTTTTTTTCTTAAAAAAATAAAAATTAACCACGAGATATGAAAGTAAGTTGGACACCTCACCGTAAATAAATATTATTTTAACTTTGATGAACCTTTACCTAATAACTATTATTTTAATTTAATTTGTATAAATGAAGCTTTTAACTAGTACTAACTTTAAAATATGAAAAAATAATGTTGGAGTGATTCTTTAACTATATTTAATTTCCAGTGTTCAAAAACAAAATTATATTATTTTTCTATAATATCTAAAATATTATTTTTAAAACTGTATAATATTAGGGTTAAAACTTAGAAGTATATAATTGTGAATTTTTGAATGATGATGACGATGAATTGAATTAGAATACCCCGTATTATTTCCAAGTAACAAACTTTAAAACGTTTTTAAATTTTAACAATTTATGATTTCATGAAGGTTACAAGAAAATTATAAAATAAAAATCATGAAAGAAGATATCGAATGTGAATTTTGAAACGACTAAAGAAAACAGGCCCAATACTGTACTAGCTAAATGGCCCATCAATAAGAACATCATCATCATCATTTCATGGGCATGCCATATGGATTTAGCCTTCAACCCAATAATATTTGGGCTTATTTCTACTTCTTCTGAACTTTTTCAAAAATTAACTTTCCGGCCATTATTTGGTATGACAAGTGAAAGTTTCTCTGAAAGGAGCTTCTGGATACGCAATTTGTTTTAGGTAAAAATTTCATACACATTCAAAAATTCAATTTGGATCAAAAGGAGAAAGGAACATAAATTCTAGGAAGAAAGTATGGCGAAGTGAGGAGGGATGGATGGTCAAGCCACGGTACAACTTTAATCTTTTTCCCAATGTTAGTGTAGTGGTTAGAATTATTTGGTCAGTTTGGTGGGGTGCATCCTCAACCTTTCCTTCTTTACTCTTTCCCATGCAAAACCATATTACCAACTAATCAAGATAAGACCGGTTGTTGTGAACAAGACTAAAATTATTGTCAATGAAATCAATTTTGTGTATAACTAATGCATGGTGTATGGTGTTCAGTGGCAGGAGCTGCAGGATTTTGTATTTTGATGTGAAGAGAATGTAAAAAAATAAGGAAAATGTCTACCAAACTATCGAATTGGGCTGTTCCATGATTTCCCTTGAAAACGAAAGGAACATCTTCCATTGGGGATATGGAAGAAAAAAGATACATCTACTTGCCTTTGAGTTACAAAATCAAGAAAAAAAAAAAGAAATGAGCAAGCACAAGAACCAGAACTATACATGGTTCTCTTGTTTTTCACTATATTTGATGTGATCAAGACTATCTGACACGGTTTTCATTCTAGGTCGCAACTCTGGATCGAGTTCAGTGCAGTTCAGAGCAATATGGAATGCAGAAATGACTTGCTTTTTAGCATAAACTTCAGGGATGAGTGCTTGGTCAATGATATCAGACAATGGCTGCTCCTCCCTGAACGCTTTCCTCACAAAACTCTCCAGCACCTTGTCATCATTTTCTGCCCCAAAATCTGGCATCCTACCCGTCAAAAGTTCCAAAAGCACTATGCCAAAAGAATATACATCACATTTCTGAGTGAACTTGCCACCAGCCATGCGCACCTCAGGTGCCAGGTAGTGGTTAATGGAAGCTGCAACCTTTGAACTCATTGAAGTGGTTACAGAAGATTGGTTCAAGCTGTTGCGTTTTGGAGCCACTGTAGTAGGCGTGCCCAAACCAAGCCGGGTGAGCCCGAAACCTGACACGTATGGATGGAGCTCATCGTCTAGTAAGATTTTTGTTGACTTCATGTTGCCATGGATATATTTGCGACCACTGAACTCGTGTATATACATCAAGCCCCTGGCTGCTTCTTGAGCAATTTTTAACCTTGATGCCCATGATAATGGTGGCGATGAATTGGAAGGCCCACCTGCAACCATAGAACAACAAATACAAAGAAAGAAATATGCTTGATAAGTACTGGAAAGTGGGAATTGAAAGTGACCTCAAAACCAGCAGCAGCTTCGTTTATGTTCAATTCAGTATGAGATCCAAAAATGAGAAGCAAATCATCAATAATCATGTGAGGATTCGAATGTTATGTAGCAAACAATGCCTACATAACACTACAGATGTTACAGTAGAGTTGCAATAAATCCATTCCTTAACATCAAATTTGAAGGATAGTGACTTCATGGTTAGAATGCTCCACACATTATTGCTAAACAAAAATCCTTTTACTTTCAGGACCACCACACTACATGCAAGGCAGAAAGAAATCCTGTGGATGCACAGCCTATAATCGCTAGAAGACAATGATTACCAATAGCGCACTTAATCCATCCTGGCAAATCACTGGGGTATGACAATCACTGAATTGGGACCATGGTCCATGGGATTTTCAATCAACCAAATGGGATCATACAAAAATATACAGTATAATTACTCTTTTGCAGCTATCACTATAGGCACAAAACTAGGACTGTGAAGACATATGGAAGAATTTTATTGAATGTCCACAAAAAATCCTAGAACAACTGCAAGCTAATAAAGGACATCAATTGAGAGAAATGGTAGCACGAAGTAACTAGCAACACACCTTTTCCAATTTAATCTTTTATCATTGATTCAAATTTAAGTTAGACAGTAAATGGGGAATGGGACCCGCCTTAGATAGTGGGTCATGCAAAAGTTAAAACCACCGATGAAAAGTGTGTTGCCAGCATCACTCATAGCTATGATTTCATGTATTCACCAGCATAAAGTTATAACTCTTGTGATCACGGACAAAAGACACAAAAAAGGGATTTTGGTTCTTAAGAGCAGAGGCACAATTCACAAAGGACACGATGACCATGGCCCCCCAAAACATGTAGTGGAAATACGGAACACCACTTAAAGGATAGAAAAAGAAAAATCACATGTGAAAGTAGAAGGTAGCAACAGGTAAATGTTTCATCCACCAGCTCCTGCATATGTCCCAGTACAATCATGATGATGCTAATCACATGTTCACAGAATTGACTCTTGAAAAGTAGTAAAAATTAGAATTTGAACTCATCATCACGTAGTGGCCACCATCAACTCAAAGTGGCACACTCAATATAAGCGGCATGTTAAGCATTGACCTAATGCAACTACACTACAACAAATTTAAGCAGACATACTAGTCCCATTTTAAGAACAACAAGATGCCATAAAATTAGACGTGACTTCCACAATAAAGAATCCAATAACATCATATGATAATTAATCGCAGAATTAAACCACCCCAAATGAATTTAACGAAGAAAGATAAAGAATTGATACCATGTAAAGCAGTGTGCAAGCTTCCATTGCGAATGAAATCAGTGATAAGCAGCTTCTCATCATGCGCATAATAATAAGCTCTCAAGGGAACAACACTGGGGTGACGAACCTTTGCAATGGCCTCCACTTCAGACTCAAACTCCTTAAATCGCCACGTGGCGTCACCCTCACTGAGTCGCCGAACAGCCACCACATTCCCCGCCGAGGAAGACCCTCTCCCGACGCCGACAACCTTGTACACTATCCCACTCCTACTCTTCCCCACAACATACGCAGACGCCCTAAGCAAATCCTCCAACTCCAACTCAAACCCTTCATCCACCACAACAAATTTACCTTCTTGCCCCTCTCCCGCGTCCACCTCATTGTCCAATTTCTGCCCCCCCAATTTCCCCTCCTCCCCGCCCCACCGTCGCCGGAAAACCCAGAGTGAGAGAGAAACCGCTCCAACGGCGACGGAGAGCCCGGAGATGACAAGAACTGCGACGGAGCCGCCACCGTGCGATTTCACTCTCTGGTCGGAGCCTTCAGGGTGAAGCGCATTGGGGTTCTGAGGGAAACCCTCTTCAGGGTTGGCGAAAATCCCAGGCTTTTGCGCTTCGGAGCACGCGGTTTGTAAGGGGAACCCACAGAGTCCAGGGTTGCCAGAAAACGCGGTGGGACCCTGGTTTAGCAGGGACCCCACCTGAGGGATTTTTCCTGTGAGGTTGTTGTTGCGGAGGTCGAGGCTGACAGCCACAGGGAGGTGAGCAAGGGAGGCCGGAATCCCGCCGGAGAAGTGGTTGAAAGAGAGATTGAGGGTTCCGGTGAGAGAAGTGAGATCGGAGAGGGTAGGAGGGAGGGAACCGTTGAAGGAGTTGGAGGAGAGGTCCAAATGGCGAAGGAACTTGAGGGAGAGAAAGTGCGAGGGAAGGGAACCTCCGAGAGCGTTGTGAGAGAGGTCGAGGACAATGAGGGAGGTCGCATTGAATAGAGAGGGAGGAATGGCGTTGGAGAAGTTGTTGTATGGAAGACTTAATCTTTTGAGGGAGGTGAGAAATCCCAGTTCGGAGGGAATATAACCGGTGAGGTTCTTGTTGGGGAGAGAGAGTTGGGTAACTCTGTCGCCCGTGCAGGACACACCGGGCCAGTGGCATGCTGTGGCGTCGGTTTCCGACCAGGACGTGAGAACGCCGGTGGGGTCGGAGTCCACAGCAGCTTTCAGGGCCAGCAGGGAGAGGCCGTCAGAGTTTAAAGAGGTGGTTGGAGTAACCATGAAGAAGAGAAAGAGTGAAATGAGAAGATGATGCAATGACATTGTTGGTGGTTAGTGAAGGAGCATTAGTTTGTTTATGGCAAGTTGGTAAGTACAGAAGGAGAAGGAGGAGAAGAAGAAGAAGAAGAAGAAGAAGAAGGTGAAGGAGAACGAGAATGGGGATGTTTTTCGAAATTGGTTTACTTCTCGAGGTGGCGTTTGAATTTCTCTGACCCACCTTTCTTCTTCTTTTAATACTACTACTGTATACGTAGTACTGTTTTTTAAATACTTAAATAAATACTGAAAAATTTAGGATACCATTGTGTTTCCAAGGGTTTAGTTCAGTCAACTTTAGTCAACCTTGGGTTCACAGTTCAGAATAAGATAACCGAGTTCATCCAAAAAAATCATGCTCAATCTGTTCTGTGAACTTACCTTTTGGCTTCCTAACAATTGTTTTGAAATGAAATTAAACGCCCCTCAAATTGTATTTGGATGATAGTTCATTTTGTGTAACTTTTATTTAAATTATTACAATAATAATTATATGGGGTTGTCCCTTTCCTGTTGAAATTTTGAAATGGAGTACAAAAATTACATATTGTTTGGGTTTTGTGATGTCAGAAAAATCAGCGATGAAGAGTTATGTGTTTGTAGTGTAGCGTAATTTTTATTTGGCGTCAGAAAATCATTTAAGAAGGACACCACGCGGTGTGTCGTCTTTCACTTTTTTCAGTTACAACCAAAAACGGGCCTATGATGCTCCTGCTACCTGCATGGATCCACCAAATCCATTTACGGGATTCAAAATGCTATTAATATTTTTTTTTTAACTTACTTTCTGTCCTTCAAATGAATTTAATTAAGCTAAAATCAAAACCTGATTGCTCAGGCTGATAACTAAGCACATGTCCAAATAGAAATTCTTATTCTCTCTCTTTTTTATTAACAAATTGATATAAATAAGTTGTTTTTTTTAATAATTAAATGAAACTGAATAATAATATATTTAATTCATCTTTATTACACACTTTTGAATGCATTTAGGTATGGCAGGCCTTCCCTTTTGATATTTTTAATTATTTTGGTCATGTGAGGATTTTTTATTATAGTTCTCCTCTCAATTTATATTATTTACAAAATAATAATTATATTTATAATAAATTAATTTTATTATATATTTTTTATATATAAATAAATATTTATAATTTTACCATTTATAATTATTAATAATTAAATATATATTTTAATTTATTATATTTATATTAAAATATATATGTAAATTAAATTTTTAATTATTTTTTATTTATATATATATATATATAATATTTATAACATTATTATTATTATTATTATATTATTATTATACTATTATATTATTATTATTATTATTATTCAAACATTTAATTATATGTATAAAAGTTAATTTATTTTTAATTAAATATATAAAATATATAGTTTATAAACAAATATTTAATAAGTTAATTCTTATTTAATTAATTCAAAGTAATAAAAATTTAAATTATTAATTTTTTTAATCTTTTAAAGTACAATTATTTTATTAAGATAAAATTTGATATATGACAAATAAAAATAATAAGATAAAAAATATGATATAATAAAATTTAATAAAAATAAATTATAAATAAAATAATATTAGTTATTATTAAGATTTATGTAAAATATTTAGAAAAATATAAAGAAGAAAAAAATAAATTAACTTTGTGTTCATCAAATTGGTTGAAAAGATTGAAAAAAAAAATTAATTGGAGAGATTAAAGAAATGTGAAAAAGTGAAAAGTAAGAAAGAGAATAATGTAATAAACTAATTGATATAAAATATTAGAAAAGACAAACAAATTTAAAAGTGGACGAGAAGAAAAGTAAAAATGGTTAAATATAAAAAATGACCTTACATGTAATAAAAAAAGAAAATAAAATACTTTTAAAATATTATTTTAATTTAAAAATAAAGTCGGGACGGGACGGAGACAAAAACGAGATCGGGGTGGGGATTATATTACTCATCTCCGCCCACTTTTTAAAGTAGGAAAAATTCAAATCCATTCCGGTCAAATTCGGGACGGAAACATATCAATTATCATTGATATGAGTTTAATTGTCATCCGTAAATACATTGTTTATCCTAATTCATTTTCATCCGTAAATACATTGTTTATCCTAATTCATTTTCATTACACAAGAGTATTGTTACTCTTTAAAATTATAATTAAATTATATTTATTTCCAAACTCTTTCTAGTTAAATTATAAAAGAATGATTGATCTGGACAATTTTCTGCTTGAGTTAAATATGGGAGAAGAATAGGTACATACCTTAATTTTAATATTATAGTAATTATTTATCTTTTAATTATTATTTTTATAGGCATAAAAGAAATTTAGAAAAAATATATAATTTTGATTCATATCGTTATACTCATTTTGTTTATATTTAGTTAATTATAAAGATTTTGTAATTTTTCGGACTATAATTGAAATAATTATAAAGTTTACAAATCTTAATTTCAATTAAAATACGTAGAAATACAAAATAGTGTGATATATAAAAAAGTTTCATAATATATTATAATTTAATAAATATATTAAAAATATATACTTTATCTTAAAAATATTTTATAGGAGTATATACTTTTTTAAGAGTAAGTATTTAAAAATCCAATCTTAAAACAATTGACGAGAAAAAAATAATTACAACAATAAATAATCATCAAATTAAACAAATAACAAATAAAAAAAATAAAAATATCAAATCATAAATTTATTTTTATCGTAAAGATTTAAAATAAGGGAACTTATCCCAAAATTTACTGTCTTAATCTTCTCCTTAATAGATTTTATTTTTTCTTTCTCTTTATTAAAACTCTTCCTCTCCTTTTTTTTAACTCTCTTGTTTATAAAAAAAAATTTCATCCATTTTTTCATTATTTATATTTGTTTAAAGTGCGTGAGAGTGAGAAATGTTTTTTTTTCTTTTTTACCTTTTTAATATTAACCATTGATTCTTTTGTTTTTGTGAATTATTTATTCAAAAATTTAAATATTATTCTATCCAATTTAATTTTGAAAAAACATTTTCAAATAAAAAGAGGTTCTATAAATATAAATTACAAAAAAAATAAAAACATAAATTTATAAATCTTTAAAATGAAAATTTGGATGAATATAAGCTAATGAAAATTTCATAAAATAAATTCTATTGAGAAAAAAAAATAGAAAATAAACTTTAAAAATTTATACTTCAGGTTTTGAAATCAAAAACAAAAATTTATTTGAAATGGAATAGCTATAACTTTTAAAAATTGGTGTTTCATTTTTAAAAAGTTCAAAGTAACTTTTTTTAAAAATTTTCATATTTAATTGATCGCAAATTCTAAAATGTAGCTTCATATTATAAAATTATCTTTTTAAAAATTTTCAATAATATATAATTTATAATGTTTAAATATTATAAATAATTTTTTTAAAGTAAATATCTAAATTTTCAAATGAAAAGATATCTATTTTTTTATTTGATATGTGTATTAAATAATATTGTATAATTTGAGGTTATATTGTTTGATAATGTACTATCTATTGCTGAATTGTCTGATGTTATATAATATGATATTATATAATTTAATTTTATATTATTTTATGTTACATTGGGTGTGATATAGTTTGATATTGCACATTTGGTGTTGAATTGTTAACTTATGTTGTATCATCTCATGTGTTGTACTATGTGTTGTTGCATTGTATAATATATATAATATCTTTGTTGCATCTAATATAATATAATTTCAGGTTTGTACCTTATAATGTTAAATGATTTAATGTTATATTATCTCATGTTTGTATTGTTTACTTTTACATTTGTTAGAATTTGATCTACGATGCATAAGTCTTTTATGAAATAAAGAATAAAGTCATGTACAATATCAAGTGTAACTTTGTATGACACATTCGGATTACATTACTATTACGCAACGTAGTATGGTTCAAAAGTTACAATAAATATATACACAAATAAATAGATTGGTTCAAAGTATTTATATTAACATTATAGTAAATGTGAGATTTCTTATTATATCCTCTTATATATCTTCTTATATCAAGAAATATTTGTTCATCGTAACCTATTATATCCAATAAGATTTTTTTATTATACCCTCTCACATCAAAAATGAGTGATTCAATATTAATATGATACTGGGTAGTTAAATCTATTATTGAATGGTGAAGTCCACCACTATTAATTATTATTGTCCCGATAATTCTAAAGTTGACTTCAAAATCACAACATATTTAATCAAATTCTACACAACCAATTCAATAAGGTGAGAATTATACTTCTTTATGTATTATAATTTTATCATATTTTTAATTAATATAAGATTTCTTAACATAAACTTTATCAAATTGTTGGACAATTTATTCATAAAGACCAATAATACCAAAAAATAGTTTAAATCATTTATTTGCTATTAGATGAATATTTTATTTTTATCTTTGTATATACATCTATTTGATGAAAAAAAAGTTGTTATTTTCTTTCATAATTGTTATTTATGATTATAATACAAACAAGCTTAGATTAATTTTTTAAACGGTATCTTATATTAAGAGTAATGATATATAACTAAATATTTATTCAACAATCGTCTTAAAATTTTATATTATTATTTATTTATTTTGTTTCATTTATTCTTTAATTAATAATAAAAAAATTATTTTAAAGTTGCATATTAGATTTTTTGAAATTTTTATATTATTATTTTTAAATTAATTTTATTTTTCTTTAATTAATAATAAAAAATATTATTTTAAAGTTGTATATTAGAGTTTTTGAAAAATATAAGTTGTAAAGACTTTTTTGATATAATGTTAATAAATAATCTAAAATTTGAAGTGAAGACAAAAGGAATGTTAATAGCATCAGTTATTTACAAACTAAAATTATTTATAACCTTAAAACATTTAAAAAATTATTAATAAAAAGTATTTATTTTTTATCTTTTTATATAAATTTCTCTATTTTTTTAAAATATTCTCTTTCTTCTAATCTATGTATTTTTTTACGTGGTTGTTTTTTCCTAAAAAATAATTAAATTGTGATTAAAAAAAGAATAGTCATTACAAAAGATAATCAATTACGTTTGAAAAAAAATTTCATCTACAAATCACTCAGTCATCGTATCCAGGTAAAAAGATGTTGTTTAAAAAATTGTAACTGAAGCAAACAGGTGATGTGCAACCTGTCATATGGAGGCTTCACCAATCCAGTGTTCCAACAAGGCAACAACTCAAACGTTGTCTACTGTCTGTCGAGGTTTCACCAGCTTCCTCCAATCAATATATTCTACCTATCCCTCTGCATCTCTGTTCATTAATAAATGGGTTTGGAGTTGTTCTTTTGGCTCCTCGTTTGTTTCCCTTTCCACATCGCCTTCTTAGCCTCAACGTTCTACCAGGTATTCATTTGATTTTTCTTTTTCTTGCCATTTCGACCTTTTTTTCTTAACCAAAGATCGTTTTTTTATTCCAATGTGATTGAATTGCAAGAGAGAGAGGATTCAGATTCATATTGATTTTTAGTTTCTATGAATCTAAAAATGTTTTTTTTTGTTCTCACTTTTTTGGGTTGAAGGTTTTGATGCTGTCTGACTTAGAAGCTGATTTTATAAACCCATATGATGCTTCATCAAGGATTAATTACATCATCGTTCCCGAGTTTATTGGGCAGGGATTATTGTGCGCTTTCTGCCTTTTAACAGGTCACTGGATCATGTTTCTGATGACGATTCCGGTTACATGCTATCATGTGATGCTGTAAGTACTAAATTTTAACCAATAAGCTTAGCATTGTGTTGCTCAAATTATATTAAAGCATTACATAATTTCTCCCCTTTTCAAGTTCTGATTCCCCTCTCTTATAGATTTTCCAAAGTGGATTTGTTTTTTGTTGGTGGGGGTAGTCTAAGATTAATGTTTTTCTTGCTGTCAGAATCTTCTGCCTAATAGCCTAGTCTTTTGTTTCCGACTTTTGTCTTTTTTCCTTGCATAATTTACAAACTTGCATCAACTTTTGTTTTGGAACATAAAGGGAGTGAGGAACTAAGGAAAGATAAAAGTGGAAGGCTTGAAGCTTACTATTTTCATAAATAATAAGTAATTGATTCAAATAAATTCTTTGTCACTAAAGGAGTACTCTCCGAGTGTGTATCTTCTATTACTCATGATTTAAAGAAATTTATCTGCAACAACTTTTCATTTGGGAATATAGGTCAACTTCAACTCCATTTTCCTATATTGCTTTAATCGATATTAAAAACATTGCAAATTTTTTAAAACAGGAAAGTTATTCATGCAGATTATTGACTTTATTTCTGCATCATGATTAATAGTGGAATGAATACAAGGAATGGTGTTTCCTGACTGTCCTCGTAGCTTCAACTTATTGGTTTATCCTCTCTTTATTGTCATTTTGATATTATGATTGAAACTGCATTGTCTTAGATTATATATATATATTTTTTTCTCCCTTTTAACTGTAGGATTATTCATGCAGACATATTAGCTGGAATTCTATAAACTATCTGTTTGCCTAGACTGAGGATTATTGTTCAATTAATTGGCATTTCTAGTTTGTATTGTTGAGGTTTGAATTTATTATAGGCTGTTTGGTTGTGCTAATAAAATGAATTTGTGGTAACTAGTTGTGTTTGAACATTTCTAACTTATATCGTGTATTTACAATTACTGTGAATATATTTGGGTAACCATTGTGCACATACTTTGTTATGTAATCCCATATAAGGCTTCGCACATGAACTTGTATGTTCTGGTTTCAGTTCATTATTGTTCCATTTCAATGATTCAGGTACATGAAACAACAGCATCTCATTGATGTTACTGAAGTGTTTCAAGCACTTGACTCTGAGAAGAAATTTCGCATAGCCAAACTTGCTTATTACTTAACAATCATCATCATAACTGTCTTCAGGTTAGTTTGTGATAACCTTAAAATAGCATATGCTTATCTACTGTATTTTGTGTTTTACATTCTCACTGCTTAGTTTTATGTCTAATTATTTTCCTGATTAATGTGATGCATTTGGATTGGTTTCTGTTACTGTTAGTTGAGGTGTTAGAGATAATAATTACTATTAAGAGAAGATTGGAAGTATTATGTTATTAATGAGTGGATATGTTTAGATAATGAGAGAAGATTGAAGGTATTCTGTTTAGTTTGTGATCGGGTTTTGGATTTGTATTAATTATTTTCCTTCACAATCTGGGTTTTCTCTCATCCAAATACTAAGTGAGATCTCATCACTAAAGTCCCATCTTTTCATTAGTTCCTTCTCTGATATAGAAACTATTTGTAATCATTATTTTCCTTCACAATCTGGGTTTTCTCTCATCCAAATACTAAGTGAGATCTCATCACTAACGTCCCATATTTTCATTAGTTCCTTCTCTGATCTCTGAACCAGTAATTATCAGATTCATCTCTCTGAAAGCATATCATTTTACAATTCTAAAGATGAAAAGTTAGGTATTTGGGCCACTGTTCAGTAAGCATATTGTAACAAAAAGCTTTTCCATAATGCATTTTTGAAGCAAGTAACAAACATTTAATTATGCCCAAAATTCCTTGTGGGGTTAGTCCTTAGTGTTTTAGTTAGTAAAGTTTAATAAATTAATATCTTGTTATCTATGTGGCAACTACTCCACTCTTCAAATAAAAATTGCATGGTCGTATTGAATAGGTCTCATAAAAACACCAACTTCTTGAAGTAGAAGCAATGAAGTTTGATTAATGTCTGCCTATGAAGTAATTCATTTTGCTTTTTCGGGTTACTTCATAAAGACTCAGCCAATCACCCTTCGTTACTAACCTATTTTATACATATATCTTCACATCTACTCTTGTTTGAAAGGATACTTATTGCGACGAATTATTTAACTATAATTTCGTTTAAGTTAAATGCTTGATTCAGGGACATACATGATATGGACGTCCTTGTGAAGTGGTGTTGTTCATGTCTTGAATTTTTAGTCTTTGTGATAAGCAACCATGTGTCTACGATCCATTAAAACCTTCTCTACATAGATACAATACTGGAGCAAGTATTTTATATCTAACAATCAAGTTGCTAATGCGCTATGGAGACATTCCGCTGCCATTACTTGTTTAATTCTCAATGTCCCTCATTTCCAATTTTTGGATGATCTTCGTGTCAGCCTATTGGCCTCTCCACAATACCAAACCTTGATCCAGGCTATCCAGTCCTCTCTGCTTACATATCTCCATTATCTTGTCTCTAATGGTCTTTTGTTATAAAAGGATCAAATATTGGGTAACTCAAGGGAACTCCTTGATTTCTCTTCTATTGGAGGAATTCCATAATTTCCTTTGGATGGTCACATGGTCTGACCAAGACTCTGTCACCTTCGAGACAACTTTTTATTGGTCTGGCATGTAATAGGACATTGTTACATTAAATAATGCAACGATTGCCAGCATACCCAATACGTTCCTTAGATACTATTGGTTTGTTTCAACCAATCCCTCCTCCTTTTTGGGTCTTGGGAGGACTTGTCCCTTGATTTTATCACTAGAATTACCCTCTATCACAGGTCTTCAATCATTTTAGTACTGGTGGATCGTTTTTCCAAGGAAGCTCATTTTGGTTTCCTTGCAAAGCACTTTACTAATAGTCGAGTGACACAACCTTTCTTGGACATGGTGTGTAAGCTACAAGGCTTATCCAAGAGCTTGATTTCTGATAAAGATCTCATTTTCTTGAGTAAATTTTGGCAACAACTTTTCACTCCGATTGGTACCAAGTTGTGAATGAGTATTGCCTATTACTTGTAAAGTGATGGCCAAACTGAGTTTTGAATAGAGCTCTTGAACTCTCAGTTGTTCAACATAAACCACATGCTTGGAGAAAATTTCTTAGTTTAGCCAAATGATGCTACACACCCACTGTCATTCTTCTACAGAATGAGTCCTTTCTAAATTACTTCTAGTAAACACCCTTCTGCTATTCCTCATTATTTAGCAGGTTCTTTTACAATGGAGGCGGTGGGCTCTTTTCTCACTTCTCGTGACACCGTGCTCAATACCCTCTATTGCAACTTGCAAGTTGATCAAAGCTCAACTAAGCATGAAACACTTTGTTGACTTGCATTGTTGTGATGTATCTTATTCGTACGTTAAATTACACCAGTATTGTCAAATTTCTTCAATAAAATAACTTTCATACTTTGTCATCACAAGGCTGAGTTGCAACTTGCAGCTGATGCTTGATGAGGATGGATCCTTGAACAGGTTCCTGATATACCTTTCAAATCATACCAATAGTGATGTCTTATGATTGTAGTTAGTTTAGATTGCATTGAAATTTTGCAACGGATTGCATCAAACGCAATTGGGAACTCCTTTTTGGGTCTGTAAACGTGTGCCTTTATACGATAACCTCAAACTTTTCTTTCTAGTGTGTTTCACTTCTGGACCTAAATTTTTGGATTAACTAAACATCAAAACCAAACAGAAATTGGAGTTTTTATTATGTTAAAGTATGTGTTTCATATACAATTAACTGACTAGAACTCAGATCTTTACTAGCATATTGATGTGTTCGTGAGCAAAGGATCCTTATAGGAAGGATAAGTGAGTGGTGTTAGATTAGTGAATGTTTTCCCCTGGACATGTGATTAGTCTTCTTTTCCTTTTATCTTATAACAAAATAAAATGAATATTTTGCTCTGGGCATGTAATTTTTTTTTATTTGAAGTTAGGTTTTGTAGGGGATGGAAGGGAAGGAAAAATATTTTATAAAAATATCTATCAAAATATATATAAAAGAGAATGGATGGAACGTAAAAAACTTAGTATTTATAAAAATAAAGAAGAGATTTAACACAAAGTTTATGTTAATCTACCATTTTATGTATTTTATTTAAAATAGTTATCAAATAAAAAAAATATTAATTAGAAATGAAAAATGTGTCTTCCCTTTCATCCTCCTCCAAAACTTAACTCCGAAACATACCCTCTAAGCAATATTTTTTCATGACTTTATTTATCATTTTCGTCAAGGAACCGGAACTCAACTTCTATGACAACTTTCCATTTTCAGGCTCGTATTGATGCTTGTCAACTACTTAGATTCTGAAGATGAATGAAGTGGACAAAACCCTTGAATTCATTCTACTTGTGCTCTAATTTAAGGTGGTGGTGCGTCTTTTTGGTTTTATGCTTTTTGTGTTCATTCTTTTATGAGAGGTGTGATCGAGTTCTATGGCATAAGATTTAGAACTTAAGTTCACAGCTCTAAGAAACAGAAATCCGTCACTAATTTGAATGAGTGTTACCAACTCAGGTATATATAATAGCTTGCCAACTATTTTCTTATGGTAACTAATAATAATGGAATTGAACATTGTATATTATTTTCCTAAGAATGTTACAACTTGTTATAAAGTACTAACACCCAGTGTAAATTTATCATGAAAAAAGTGAGTTAATTATTGTCATGTGCACAGTGCTTGTTTTGTAATTTTTTATTTGAAAGGCTAATTTTGTGGAAAATGCATCTTAGTTATTTTTTAATTACAACAAGGAGGTATAGGTTTAGTGTTTGGGGAGATCAATATTGAATTTCAACTTCATGATCAGGTTGCTGTGAATAATGTGTTGGTTGTGTTAGAGACAAAATCACATAATCTAATGATCTACTCAGTATAAATTTTATTATGCTTAAATATATTTTTAATCCATCAATTTGATATAATTAACTTTTAGTGTTTTAAAAAAAGTACAGGAATTAGTTTTAAAAAATAATTTGTGTAAAATTGAGGAAATAAAAATATTAAGCAAAAAAAATGTGATAACTATATTTTCATCATGTTCTGTGCTGAAAGCAGTATAATTAATTTTGGACCTGTATGAGCCCAAAACAAACATGCGGCGTTGAGTTGGGCTATCATACATGGGCCTCGTACTCGTTATAGTAAGATTTGGACTCTTTCTTCCTGCACCCCTATAATTTCTCCCTACACCCCCTAATTAAATTAAACCTCATATTACCTTTACCCTTATCTTCATCTTTGGAATACTGACTTTTCCAGAAAACCCGATCTGAAATACATTTCCTGATTGGTTTTTCCAGATATGCATTATGGAATATCTAATTTGGAATGAATTTTCGGATTGATTTTTTGGAAATACATTCCGAAATGTATTTTCATATTTGCTTTTTTGAAAACATATTCTTAAACATTCGATTAGGAATGCATTTATAAATTGGTCTTTCCGAAACACCTAATCTGAAATGTATTTTCGGATTAACTTTTCTGAAATTTAACTTTATTTTTGTGACACGATTTTAAATGGAGCAATTTTGATCTGGTTGTGCAATTTGAGTAGGGGAACATATAATTTACACATAATATTAATGATTACTTATCTTTAATTGTTAGAAAAGACTTGTAATGGAGATGATAACATAAAAATATCAAATAGCCCAGGGATGGAGATGTATAATTTATACACAAATGGGAGAAGTTAAGGTAAAAAATAAAATAATGAAAATGATATTTTAGATATTTGATACGAAGATGCATAGAAAATTGATCCGAGTATAGGAAGCAAGAGCCTAAGATTTGCAGTCATATTTTTTGTAACCATCTTGGCCTTAGAATTATTGGCGGGTTATCTTGACAAGCATGATCCTTGGTCGCAATGATACTTGAAAGTTGGTAATTTCCTTGAAACATATTGGGTGAAAATGGAATTGGAGTCCATTGAAGACACAGAAAATGACTTGAAGCAAGATATTTTGAAAAGAAAATAAGAAGTTGACAGAGAAAGAGAAAAACTTGAATTTTGAGAAACATTATGAGCAAATATTTTGGATATGGAGTGGCTTTCAGAGTAATGAATATGGGAAGATTCTCCAAGGGGAAAGAAACAAATGGTATTAAATGAGAGATATATTTTGGCCTGAGATGAAAAGATAGATGGGGGCTGTGAGAGTAGGTCGAGTGATCCTTGAAAATGACTGAAGGCAATAAGCATCTTGGGAGACCCGACATGCTGTTAGCAGCTTCAAACATATGGTGCCTTTCTTTCCACAACCTTTTCCTTTATGCTCTCATCTCATCTCATCTCATCTCAAACGCCCCCATAACATTCATTCATCATTGGGTCCATTTTTAACCAACGATTCATCCTTCTTAACCAAGTTTTCATGTCTTGACCCTACACACTTCCTCTCTGACCTTCACCAATCTGTTGGGTCATTTTCCCCTCTGCATGTTTTCCGATGTGGGTCCTTCTCCATCAATCTCCAATCCTCCTATTCACCCATGTCCACCCATTTATTCTCGATGCTTAAGTTTGGGGCTTTCAGGTAAATTCACCACACTCTGCTTCATCATTCAAGCTTCCTTTTCGATTTCCACACAAATCCCCAAACACCACTCTGGATCTCACAGATTCTTCTTCAGTTTAAGTGCTCCAAAACCAACCAAGAAAACTTGTTGCTTCATGTTTGTCTCACCTCACCTTGTTACTTCTTACATGCCTCCACCAACTAAAGGTCTTGAGTTTTACTTGATCTTCTCTTGAGCATGAAATTGCAATTGAAGGTACCATTTTGGATCATATCAATTGAGTACTAAATAGAATTCCATACACCACTTGTTTACATTAAAGAATATGTCAAACACATATATTCATCAATAACAATAAATAATAGTTTCCTGTTAATGCATCAAATTAGTTCTCAACAATTTTTTTTTAAATTATAAAATTGTAATTTTAATATTTAAAATTAGTAAATTGTCAAACAATGTAACGTTATATTTAGAATTTGTTTATTTGATCTCTAGTGATAACAATTATGGGTCATATTTTTTTTACACTTCAATTATATCGACCACTTTATCCTTTTTGACTTTGACTGTGAAATTGAAGTAACAAACTAATGAGCTTGATAAATTTCATGAAATAAATGAACTAATTTTTTTAAGAAATGAGTGAACTGAATTAGTAATGCTAGGAACGAGATTAAATAACCATGTCGATTTTAAGGACAAATTTAATATCTCTAATAAAAATTAAGAATTAAACTTATGTCTTATTAATTAGAAAATAAACTACTCAATTAAAATAGTTTCATAAATTATTTAATACAAAGAAACTTACAACGATTTTTTTTATACTAATATTCTTTTAATTTTTAAATAAGCAATGTTTTAATTACATTTATAATGATAAAATGAGAGTCATATTTTCTATTTTATTTAATGTTGAA